CAGGTCGCCGCCGCCGCCTGCGTTTCGCTTTTTCTCGACTACTGGCGCACTGAGGATCGGGTGAAGTGATCGAACTGTTAGCGGGCAACGGTTGGGACGCGCAGATGCATGCTTGCTGCCCGGAACCATCGTTCTGAAAGTATCGCAGAAAAAAACAAAGGTACAGATGGGCGGCCAAACCCAATCAAGAAGTCAGGTTTGGAGTACGTGGTTTGGGCAACGAAGAACGAGCAGAAAATGAAACCAAAATTCCTTCTATCGACCTTACCGTTAACAAATACGAAAACTGTTGATAAAATTCGTTCGATCGAGGCAATCAGAAAGGTATAAGCAACATTGTAAGTATTAATATTTCGAAGTTAAATCAAAGAAAAATAATAACGTTCCTCCGAGTTCCGTAACACTGCAGTCTTCCTTTAAGGTCTGTTTGGCGAGCAGCAAACACTTCTGAGAATCAACGTCCCTAATTTGTAGAAAAAGTTACGTTACCTTGGTGGAAAAGCCTCTGTCGCAAATAGTGCATTTGAAAGGTCGTTCCTTCGTGTGGCTCCGGTAATGGATCTCCAGCGCGGAGTTGCACGCAAATGTCTTGTAGCAGATGTTACACGTGGTGTTTCCACGCACTGTAACAGATCGTGGCTCTTTACAATTGCTTCCCGACACTTTTCGCGTGCTTCTACGTCCGTGAAAGCAATTTGTAGCCGTGGTTCGATCGTAAAAGGCATTTTTATAACCGGACTCGCGACAATACGAAAGCTAATCTAATCGTGAAACGCTTCGAAATTGGAATGATAATGCTTCGGGACGCGAAACGATCGTTAATTCACGAACGAAGATGGCGTTAGAGTCACCGTTTCACGACAACCCGGCGCGACGGAAGGAGTGAAATGAATCGTGAAGGCAGCAATACGTTTTGCAAACAGATTTATTCATTCAAAAATGTCCACAGTATGCGGGCGTTTTCTTTTCTCGCGCTGAAGAGAAAATACAAATCTAGCTCGTGGCCGCGAACTTCGAGTCCTCCGACAAAAACCCACAAAAGCGACTCGAACGAGAGAACGAAAAAGTAAGAATGACAGAGGTATGGACAAAGAAATACCGAAACAGAGGTGTCCAAACGGATAATAGAAAAAAAAGATATGTCAAGCGGGAGGGTGGGAGTGCTAGGTCCGGCTACACCACAAAACAGGATGTCGATATACAGCTTGGACAAGGTGGACGAATCAGTGAGACTGGCGGTCAGGATCAGTGAATCGTGTCAGATCGATCGGGAGGTGTAGCAGGAACTGCAGCTCGCCCTGATGCTAGCAGCGCCTACCTGCTGGCCCTCCGACAGCCAGGCCGAGCGGGTTGTAGGTCGAGGTGGCAGCTAACACGGCTGACGTGGTGAGGGACGCCAATGGTCCAGCGGCACCCGATGCTGGAGTAACAGCGTTCATGGAGCTGACGCTATTTATGCTGCTGGTTCCTATGCTGCTGGTTCCTATGCTGCTGGTAGATGGTGACGAAGAGACTGCCTGCAGGAGGCCTGCGAACATGCCGAAGGGATGTGGGTGGTGCGTAGGCTGCGGCGGTGGCGTCGGTACCGATGCTACTGAGGCTGGTGTCGACGATGCTCGTGGTGTTAAGTCTAAAGGAGCACCGGCATTCGGAGGGCTGTTACTCTTTTCGCTACCGTTATACCGGTGAAAAGGTGGCGATCTGGCTGCGTTTCCTAAGTTCGACGTGGCCGTGGTCGTGATTGTTCGGACCTGGTTCTCGAGAGCAGCGAGGGAAGTGGAGAAATTGGGCAAAGACGGATCCTTGTGCTCATTCTCCTCGCTCTCGTGATCTTGCTCATCATCTACGTCGCCACGATTGTCACGATTCATGCTGCACCTCTCGTCGTCATCCCTGCGATCCTCTTCCTCGTCATCTTGGTCCTCCACCTCTTCGCTCTGCTCCTCGATGTACCTCTGTTGCTGTTGCTGCTGCTGCTGCTGTTGCTGGGATTCTTCTTTAATGTCTATGTCGTTATCCTGAGGCTGTCGTTCCATCGTTTGCTGCCGGCTCGGAGGAAAGCCTAACGGGAAGCCTGGTCCTGCGGGATGAATCGGTGGAAAGCCTTGCGGGAGGAACGACGCTAGAGGATGGTGCGGATAACCGGGTGGGAATTCGTTCACCTCGCCGGCTTGAATTTGTTCCGGGCTCAGCTCCGTTGGCTCGCCGGTGTGCAAGCGTATGTGTTGCTGCAGAACGAGCGCATTCGTGAATTTCTTGTGGCACACGGGACACTGATGCAGCACCCTGAGCGGCGGTTTCGCCCTATGCACGCCCATGTGGGTTTTCAAGTTGCCCTTGGTGGTGAACGCCCGGCCGCAAATCTTGCACTTGAACGGACGCTCGCCGGTATGTGTTCTGTAGTGCATCTGCAGTGCGCTTTTGCAGGAAAGCACCCTATGGCAGATCACACACTGGTTGGGATCGGTCAGTTTGTGTTCGATGTTGTCGACCAGCTGCTGTAGCTTCGACGTCTCCGAGGTCTTCGTGATCTCGATCAGACTCTCCCAGGAGTTGTCGTTGCTGCCCGGCCGCGGCAATAGGCTGGAGTAGATGGCTGGATCCTTAGCTGGGTCGATCATGTCACTGGCCGAGACTGCGGGTGGGTTTACAGTTGACGAAGCAGGATGGTGGGGTATTTGATGATGGGCAGGTGGTCCTGGAAACAGAATTCCCGCGAAGGAGGTTTGAAGGCTTCCACTGCTCGCACTACTGCTGGCAGGAGAAGCACCAGGGTACGCAACGATATGCTGAGGCAACCGATTGATAGGTCCCCGACCAGATAAATTTTCAGGTTGTTCCTCAATCTCCTCGTCAATTTCCATGTCGCCGTCCCCTTCCAGTCGGCCGCTAATTTTGCTGTCCATACTGCAGTCTTCGTAGGTCTGCGGCTGAGAGGGTGGATTAACGGACGATTGGGGTGAGTTTAAATACCGTCTAGTCGTCTCCTCGAAATCTTCGCTTTCCTCTTCCGTCGGCTCCTCGGCCTCTTCTGGTTCCTTTTTCGGTGTTATCCTCTCTGTGGCTTCCTGATTGGTAGGATGCTGTTGGTGCTGGTACTGCTCCTGCATAGGCGATCTCTGCTCGAGTTTGATCTCGTCTCTCTGCTCGAGCTGCTGCTTTTGTTGTTGTTGTTGGTGGTGGTGGTGATTGTCGTGAAAGGAATGACGAGAGTTCGACACAACCGCGGGGGAATGTGGGGACGTGGTCGGGGCAGTGGTAACAGGCTTACTCAGGTTCTCCGGCACGTCCTGATCGTCCCGATGAGCGACAACCGGTGATCTGTACAGAGGTTGCATACCGGGCAGGGCTAAACTGAGTGGCAGGGGCGGCTGAGGAGGTAAAAAACCGTGT